GTAAAGTTCTTCTTTTTTTAGTTTTCGCTGAATGAACACTTCCTTGTATCTGAAGCAGGAAACACAGCCTTATATGGTGTTTTTGGGGTGGTAATTATGCTAATCTCCTCTCGCGTGCACGAGCAGCTGGATACGAACAGGTGGAATTTACGCAGCTCATTTACACACTTTTCCTGAAGATAGAAGAGTTTGTTGAATCTGACGTGACATGTTTGTACAAAACCTTTGTACGAACAAAAGTAAGAGAAATTTAGGATAAGAATACGAACATGTTCTTGCATGAGGCCCAATGACTACAAATGCATCAGCTGTGCGTGGATTGTAGGCTACCTTTTTGTTTTTGGATTTTCAAAACGTGAACAAGCTCCTCCTCCTCATTTTAATATCATCAGTTTCCAACGTTTAGGGAGCTGTATAGCATCCAATGAGAGCACCCTGCCTGTCAAATTTTGGGGTGTACCCTCTGTGTTAAGTGATGCCAAGGGAGCCTGACCAAGCGTCCATGTATGACAAATAGGGAGGGAAAACTGATCGACCAAATAAACAAAAATAAACTAATTAAATTTTAGTTTAGGTTGCAGAAGTCCACCCCCACAAACGCACAGGACATTTTGACCTAAAAGACCATTTCTTATTATATTTGTCCACAATTTTAGTAATAATAAAGGGGGAAAGAATCATTAAAAAGTAAAAAAAAAACAACAACCTATAATAATTTTTCTCGAAGGTAAATTTCAAGGTAGCTATGCACCGTGTGTACAGCTGTACAGATGCCACTGGTCTTGCTCAAAGCAGTGCCCACTTTGAGGATAAAGACATGAACATTGTAACGCAAGTATACAACAGAGGGTCAAAGTGAAGGCTGAACAGCAGGAGGTACGTCTTTAACAAAGACTTGTTTTAGAGCACAGCTACATCTCTCTGAGCTGCAGCCTCCCATACAAATCACGTTTCAATAAAGCTGACTTCTGGCTATCTTCTAGTTGTAAGAACCTGCTCTATGAGATTAATACCAGCTTAATCTCATAAAAGTCATGTTCCACAAGATCTTGCAGAAGGAAATCAGGAAATAATGAAACMCCCCTCTGATCATGAATGAGAAAAGAACTTGTGACCTGAACAGATCTCTCAAAATAAAGTAATTTATTTTTAGATATATGAACAGGATAAACATACAAATATGAATAAAAACACAAGTTATAATAACGGCATAAAATTCCACTCAGAGTTGACAAAAACAGTAAATTTCATGTGTTGCAATTTACTGGCATCTACTTACTAAGTTTCTTAAGTAAATAAGAGAAGGAAAAGGTAAAGGTTTAAGTTTTAAGAATAGGAGGAAGGAGAGAGATTAGTAACTTTAGCACTGTTCTTAAAACCAGGACCAGAGCCAACAAACAGCTGTCTGACTGGGACACCTCCGAGGGCTGGACAACAGCTCCGACCTTTTATCTCAACAAGCATCGCCTTTTACCTTTTGACGTCTTGTCAGAGACAGGCAGGTGGACGGTTTTGAGATTGAGTCGGCAAACAGTCCGCCCAGGTGGACAATGTCAGTCATTGACAGCGGGGGGGGTGAGAAGACGCCTCGTCTCACCCAGCGGAGCCCGTGGCTTCAGGCGCGGTCGCTCAGAACAGTCGCTTCTTTTCTCGGCATATTAGTCACCCAGACTTCAGGCAGGTGCCTGTCCAGACA